CAGAAATCCCTCGACAGCCGCCGAGATCACGCTAATATACTCGTACGAACGGCTTAACCTGTCACGTCTGCCATAACATAAATAAGATCATTTACGCATTATCGTGTCAGTCTGCCTGTACTTAATCCTTGCCTTTCATGAAACTGAAATACTGCGTGAAACATCGGATATAAGTGAGGACGCGATGGCGTATCAAACCTGGACCACTAGCAGGGGCCTACTATGCTGTACGCAAGGCAGAAGGATGTCAGACCCTTCCTATTTTGCAGGGTAATCAGTCTACGACAGCACTTAAAGAATACTTTTTATTATTATAAGTATTATAATTATTATGCTTCTTTACAATCTACATCATTACAGAGTATTAAGTAAACGTATTGTAGGTGGTTAGCTTGCAAGGGAAACATCCAGTGATGTTTCTCCTACACGTAGTCTATTTCATTGATTGGTGATGTCTTGGGGCCATGTTCTGTTCAGTCTTCTTGTCACTGGACCGTTGGTGTATAGCTCTTCTATTTATTCGTTGTCATGGTTTAAGTTTTGTTTTTGTACCTTTCAGCCATTCTTAGTATTCATTTTTGACGAAGGGTATCTTTAGTTCGTTATGGAGTGTAAGGTTGCTCACATACCATGGCGCGTCTGCAATTGCCCTTAGTGTTTTTGATTGGAATCTCTGGATGGGATTGATTGTCGCCGGCTTTGCACATCCCCAGAGTTGACCATAAGTTTCAATATAGCTTTGTATAATAGTATTTTGTTATTCATAGAGAGCTTTGATTCTCTATTGAGAAGCCAATACATTTGACGGTATTTTATGTCAAGTTGTTTTCTTTTAGTAAAAAAAAAATACTTATGAAATGTTAAGTTCTCACAGCGATCGCTATAAAGATGACTGTCAGCGGCCTCCGTAGTCTAGGGGTAACGTTCCCACCTCATGACTCAAGGTACGCGGGTTCAAACCCGGCGGAGGTCGTGGAATTTTTAAGGGCGGAAAAATTCAGGGAACAAGTCCTCCGGGAAGGACTTCAAGCCGTGAGTCCCGTGTCGTAGATTTACGGCACGTAAAAGAACGTCATGTCTCTAGGAGACCTTATTAGGTAAAAACTTTCCGGCCCAAGTAGTTTCCAATGCCTCTGGTAGATGGGGGAAGTATCAAGGTACCGAGGGCCGACCTCGTTGGCTCAACGGGGCTGATAGCACGCATCGTCTACCGGTAGGGTATGGGGACAGTAGAAATTAAAGGGGGACACACAATGGACCAATAACTGGTCTAAGTGCATGGGGAAACCCACCCCCTCCAATAATAATAATAATAATAATAATAATAAGATGACTGTCTGTTTTGTTGTGATGCCGTGCAATCTAGTACAAGTTCACAGACGTTTCGCAGGAAACGTGTCAATTTTATTTTCTACCCTGATAATGGAGACAGGGTGTTCTTCCGAAACACTGGGAAACTTCTATGAGACTACCGCGTCACGTCCATAAACACAGTTATCTTAATAATGAATTACTTCCGAGATACTGCAATCTTCGTTCAGATCTTGCACGTAATAAAATGTTTCCTTCTTATTTGACTCTATTTAAAAGCTGTATTTTAATGTGTTACGTTCAACTGATTTCTAGACATGCCACCTACTAGCAATGTTTGTCGATCATTATTTGTTACTATGGCAACTGTCTCTCTTTCCTGTTGCTCCCACTTTGGAGCATAGGGCTTCCGTGAAACTCTTTGTTCCACGCCAGTTTCTTAATCCTAAGACAGTCGGTAGTATTCCCTGGACGGGTGATCAGCCCGCCGCAGTGCCGCTACCTACACACAGAATAAACGCAAACAGACATCCATGCCTCGAGCGGGAGAAGACAAGTTCATGCCTTAGACCGCGAGGCCACTGTGATCGGCTTATTATGGCTTACTTCTTTCTTTATTGTTTCTTCCACATAAAGAAAGGAAGGATAGAGATAGAGAAAGGTAAGAAACATACGTGTATATTTATCCACTATACAGATTTTTCATACTGCATGACAGGAGATGGACAGCTGCATGAAAAGTGGTGAAATATGAAACTTACCCTTTCAGTTGGATCCCACGCACGAAGACATCCACGGGCTGACGCTGGTACGTTGCAAGCAACCACTGGCAAGGCCTGTCAAGGCTATTTGCAAATCCTTCACTTACAGGTCGAATTTTAAACACTGATAAATTACACCAAGAAACTGACTACACATATTACAAAACTTGTGTCCCCAGTAAAGGGATATGAATAATTTAATGGAAAGTATTTTAATTCTGGCGCATCGAAATCAAATTCACTTGTATAGTTTAACCACTTACACAAATAAGTGTAATTTATCACAAAATACACTATCACTCTGCGATTTTAAAGCCACGTTCATTACACGCCTGCTCTTATTCCGCGATCTGTCACAGTTTGCACATATACTTCACTGCAACAATTGAAATATGGCCACGTATATTAACTATAGTAAAAGTAAGTAAGTAAAGTAAAGGTATCCCTTTAACAGGCCATGGAGGCCCATACGGTTGGGAGATGTTGAGGTTCCCACATTTGCTAAACAATCGGCTCATAGATGCGTCGGCCGCCCTTTAGCCGCCGTTTACCCCAAAGAATATTCCAAGAATATTTCTGATACTCATTTCTGTTAGAGTCGACTCCAGGGCCATATTGCGGTTGGAAGGATTAGCTCAATTGGAAAATTTCAATAACCTCATTGGGACTTGAACTCGCGACCTTCCAGCTTGTAGCCGGTAATCGAACCCGGGACTTCTGGATCTGTATGCAGGAACTCTGACCACTAGTACAAAGAGGCGGTCGTATTTTTAATACAGATATTAATATATTTCAAATCCGTGTTTCATCATTTGGTATAAACCTGTAATTGCTATTTGTAAGGTCATGAAGTGCTTAACGAAATATATCGACATTGCAACTCGTTGGAAAGAAGTCGGTTCCCACGATCGGAAACGCAAGCTAACAGATTATTCTGAATTGAAAGTAACAGAATATTTATGTGAACTATGTATGTTACGTGATCCTAGATTACTACTAATCCTTTTCTTCGGTATGTATTATATAACACCTGTCTCTGGTGGAGAAATAAGCCAGACAAACCNGACGTGTGCAGTAGCCGAAAGTTGATCCACGGTGACTCGAATCGTCTATCCATTGAAGGTCAATCTATCGAATAACATTCATCTTAGTTGTAAACGTCTCCACCTACGCCAGCGATAATAAACAACTCTCATACAAGGTAATTCTTTTAGCGTGTTTCATAATTTGCACAATTTTTCTTTGTCTTTACAGTGAAATCCGAGAGATTTGATGGATATTTTATATGTCCATTGCTATACGATTTACAAAAAAGTTAAGTTAGCTCAAGCGGTAACCCTTCTTACTTATATTCGGAAAGTATCTAGTTCGAATCCCGGCCGGGACACCGAATATCGTGACTGAAGTTCTCCGTGGTTTTCCTCAATCTCTTCAGGAAAATTCCATAATACTACCCAAAATGAACCATGACTGCTTCTCGACATTGACAATTCCAAATATGTGGCACGTCATTGTTTAAAGTTAATTTTTCATATACAAGAAATGAATATATGAAAGTAAATATCCTAATGCCGGTCACGGTAGCCGAGCGGTCTAAGGCATGTACTGTTTTCGCTCGCTTGGAAACCGGGATCGTGGGTTCGAATTCCACTCAGGGCATGGATGTTTAGTTTGTGTGTGTACGCGTTGTTCTGTGTTTGTGTACAGGTAGAGGCCTTGTGACGAGCTGATCACCCGCCCAAGGAGTCTACCGACTGTGTAAGATGTAGAAAAACCGAAAGGTGAACGGAGAAGTTCATGGAGGTAGGCCTAGGCACACTGGGGTTGTAGTGCCAAGGAAAAAAAATCCTAATGATAAACTTGTACCATTGTTTAACATTTATTTATTATTATTATTGATTATTTTTTATATTTTTTTACCTTCATACATTAGAATTGTATTACGGCTTCTGCAAAACTCTTCGAATGTGCAAGGGCTCCATGACCAGATTAAACTGGGAAAGAGTAAAGTTGGTCTCTCAATGTGAAAGAAGGACAAAAATCTAAGATGTCTGAGAATAAAGAGATAACGCGAAAATTGGATCTGCTGCCAAAGAAATATCAGAAAATTACATAATGGGGAATTTCAAAATTCGCAGATTTCAGCTATTGATGTTAGAGTAATGAATTAAGAAAGATGAGGTGAGGGGCGTATACAGGAAGCAACAAAGAAACGAGAAATTCATGCATTCACATAAGGAAGCGTTTAAAGAATTTCCCGCTTGGGAGCTCTGGGTGTAAATGGGAAGTTAATATTATAATGGATCTTAAAGAAACTGTAGTATTGAATTGGTTCAGTACTGGACCAATTGGAGGGATTTTGTGATGCAAGTAACGAACTTAGAAGCCGTCAATTGCGGAACTAACCCCCCAGTTCTATGAAGTTAAGAGTCACGCAATTAACTCCGAAAAGTTTCTGTAACTGCAGCAATTACGTAGCGCAGAGAGATTACCGTGAGTGAACAGTGAAAAGACATTTCGAAAGAAGTTGTTCTAGGCTCTTCCTTAGAAGTGTTCCGTCATTCGCCTGCCTGGGCTGTCGAGGAAAATTATAAACAAACTTAAGAAAGTATCCATGCATTTTGCTTAATATCCAGTTCGATAAGAAAATTCGTCGCACGTCCCCTCTTCGCATTTGCAAGGTCCTTGGTCAAGATCTTGGCCCGGAAACGGACAATCCTGATTGAAGTCTTATACGGTTTTCCTCATTCCCTCCAGGCCAATGCCAGGATAACTGACATTCCTCAAATCAGGCCACGACCGCTTCCTTTAACATGCTTTATAATTCAGTATTCACTGAGACCATCCTATCTTTCGATGTTATATAATCTAATTTGCTGATAAGATGTCGTTAAGTAAGCAGTTTTTATCTTATTTGTGATGTTGCAGCTTTAAGTTCATCGACTTTGACTTAACCGACGAAGACACGTGTCGTGCTACTGTGCGTATGTTTCTGCAATGCAACCTCGTCAAGCAGTTCCACATTCCATACGATGTAAGTGCCTCAACAAGTTACTTAATATCAAAACAAAATGTTGTATAAGGCTTTCACGGTCATAATAATCTTAACTGCTTTATCCGAGAATTCTGCATTCCATAAGCTTATGATGTGGCAGCGCCATAGCTCAAGCGGTTAGTCCCTGGCTTCCCACCGCGACGGCCCGGGTTCGATCCCGGGTCTGGTCAAGTGGGATTTGTGGTGGACAAAGTGGCTCTGGGGCAGGTTTTCTCCGAGTACTTCGGTTTCCCCTGCCATTCTTCATTCCACCAATTGCTCTACAATCACCCTCACCTATCATCTGGGGCTGGTACAATAGGTTAGAAGTGGCCGCAGTACAAGGGACTTAGTCCCACCCAACTAGCAATAAAACAAGCTTATGATGTATGTTATCATTATTATTACTATTATTATTATTATACTTAAACTGCAAATGGGTTTTTACCCGGTGACAGTGATATTACAATAAGACATAACACATAAATAACACACCACACAAAACTACACAAGCAATAAAGGACACACTACACAAAACGAATACAATGAAAATACTTCAAATAAAAAAAAAGCCCTTGTATATTACATGTGGCATCAGAATGGAATACTCCAGTTCGGACAGGTTAGCCTACGGTATAGGCGACCGGAGAGTTAGGCTCAAATGCTTGGCTGTTGCAACAGGTTTTCCTTTTCTCTGCCGCATCCAAACTGGTTTAAAACTTCTGGGGGGTGGAGCTGACCACTCATCTACATCTACGTAATGTCAAGATCAAGAACGTGTGGCGTTTCACTTCTAGTTTCTCTGCGTCTTCGTGGTATAGTTCTTAATTACGCACAACTTTACAGTATTCATTTATCTCAGTTCGTATAAGGAATAGGATGCAGGCTGAAGGGTTGGGGTTCGATTCCCGGCAGGGGCAAGAGATTCTTTTCTTCTTGATAGAGTCTAGACCGGCTCTGCTGCCCACTGAGCCTCCTATCCTATGGGTACTCTGAGAGCCATCCACAAGGGTAAAACGACAGGAGCGTGAAACTAACCACTCTCTCCCATCTAATGCCAAGGTTAAGAACGGTGGAGCTATACCTCCACTTTACCTGCATTCTTACGTCGCGTTAAATCAAGGAATCTGAGGGTAAAGTGTCCGGAAAATGAAGCTCACTGCTCGTTTCCATCTAGTCCAATGGTCTAAAAAATTCACTAAAAGCAGTCCAACTCACCCCAGGTCATCTTGGCATTTTGCATAGGTATAGCGATAATTTAATTTTGAAAGCATAGTGGTTGTTAATGTACCACCTGCTTTAATACTAAGAAACATTGCATTTTGCCCACGCCATATATTTCAATGTTTCGCATTATTCTCAGAATAAACAGGGAATTTTTGGTTAAACACTATTAAGCGGTTGCCCTTTTAGAATATAAATGCACTATGTTTCCTGTGAAGCAGAAATTTCGTAATTAAAAACTATTGTATTAAGTAGAAATTCGGAGCTCCCCCACTTTAATTTTATCAGAACTAATCTACATTTCTGCAAAAGCCACCAATATTTTTTCAAAGTACGCAATTGAACACTAATTCAGAGAACCAAAATTCCATTGCCCTTGTCTCAAGCCACTACTTCTGTACCTTCACTTTCATTCCGTTCTTATCAGAAGGACGAGCGGGCGAAGCCTGGGAATCCTCTAAAAGAAGGGTCTCCAAACTACGGCCCGCGAAAAATTGTGCAGAAATGCGCCAATTGAACTAATTTTCCAGTGGGTACTGGTAAATGTGATTCCGAGCTTATTGACCTGACATATTATACTGCAGTTCGATGGCTTAGCTGTGGAAAGGTTCTTTCGCGCTTCTTTCAGCTCAGGAATGAAATTGATATAATCGTATTTCTTACTGAGAAAAACCATCACGAACCACTTTTATCAGATACCGAGTGGCTTTGGAAATTAGCATTTTTTGCTGATNTGATCTGGTGAACCATATGAACCATTTGAATTTAATGTTGCAGGGTGAAAATAACTTAGTCTGTGATTTATTTGCGCTTATCAAGGCATTCAGAGCAAAGTTGATACTTCTGGAAAGCCAAGTGAAACGTTGTAACTTTGTTTATATGCTATACTGTGCAGAGTTGCATAAAAATGGTGAAGCAGAATTTCCTTCCTCGTTTGCAAATTTAGTCATTTCAGATTTGAAAGAATAATTTCGGAA